TCACTGTGTTGCCAAGGCTGCTGTGCTGTGGTGCAATCATAGCCCACTGCAGTGTCAAACTCCCAGGCTCAAGCCATCCTGTCACCTCAGCCTACCGAGTAGCTGGGACTACAGGTGCATGCCACCGTGCCCAGCTTATTTTTATAATTTTTTTATTAATGGGGGTCTTGCCATGTTGTCCAGGCTGGTCTTGAACTCCTGAGCTCAAGTGATCCTCCCACCTTGGCCTCCCTAAGTGCTGGGATTACAGGCGACAGCCACTGTGCCTGGTTCTTTTTTCTTATATATACACACATGCATATGATAAAGTGTGAGGTGCAACACTAAATCTAACAGTTTCTTTTTCCTTCTCAATTGCAAAGATAGTTTAGTTCTGTGAATGCTGAACATTTGATACAGGTTTCGGGTAATTTAGAAAGTTTATTTTGCCAAGGTTGAGCACCCGCCCTTGTGACACAGCCTTTGGAGGTCCTGCGAACATGTGCCCAAGGTGGTCCGAGCACAGCTTGGTTTTGTACATTTTAGGGAGACATGGGACATTAATTGGCATATGTAAAGTGAACGCTGGTTTGGTCCAGAAAGGTGGGACAACTGGAAGCTGGGAGGGGGCTTCCAGGTCACAGGTAAGTGAGAGACAAATGGTTGCATTCTTCTGAGTTTCTGATTAGTCTTTCCAAAGGAGGCAATCAGATATGCATCTATCTCAGTGAGCAGAAGGATGACTTTGAAAAGAATGGAAGGTAGGTTTCCCCTAAGCAGTTCCCAGCATGAATTGCCCCTTCAGTTTAGTGATTTTGGGGTCCAAGATATTTTCCTTTCATACTTCCTACCATAGATCTTAGCAATCTCAGCATACAATTTTTTTCTTTTCTTATTAAGTAGAGAACTTTTACCATTCCACTTAAAGAAAGCATTTGACAGCTTTTTTCTTTTTTCACATCCAAATTGCCAGCATCAACACTCTTGCACTTCAGGGCTGTCACTAAGTAAAATCACGCCTGTAATCCCAGCACTTTGGGAGGCTAGGCAGGCAGATCACTTGAGGTCAAGAGTTCAAGACCAGCCTGGCCAACATGGTGAAACCTCCGTCTCTACTAAAAGTACAAAAATTCGCTGGGCATGGTGGGGCATGCCTGTAGTCCCAGCTACTCAGGAGGCTGAGGCATGAGAATAGTTTGAACCCGGGAGGCACAGGATGCAGTGAGCCGAGATAGCACCACCGCACTCACTGTATCACTATTACTGTGATACCACTGTAACCGGTATGGGACCCAGGGGCTCAGCTCCCTCCCTGTGCTCACCAAAGATGTAACTGGGTGTGTCCAGGTTCTTGGCATCACTTGCCCCAGGAATGGAGAAGGGGTCCTGGAAGCACTGTGAGCTTATCGTTCAAATAAATATTGGACCCAAAGAGTTTAGCAGAGAGCAATTTTTTAGGCAGAGAGAGAAAGAGAGAGAGAGGGAGAGACAGCTCCCACATTGTTGTGGGAGGGGATCCAGAGAAGCAGTCCGTATAGGGGGAGAGAGAGAGAGAGACAGCTCCCACATTGCCATGGGAGGGGATCCAGAGAAGCAGTCCATATAGGGAGAGAGAGAGAGAGACAGCTCCCATATTGTTGTGGGAGGGGATCCCAGAGAGGGAAATCCCTACAGGTAAGGGAGCAGGGGGATTTTAACCCTGGAGTTACTCCCACCCATTCATGTTGTCATCCAAGGAGAGGAGCTTTTTCAGACTTCCTCTGGAGTGATTGATCTTTGACTCTGATCCCGGATTGATTGCTTGGGCCCACGACAAAGCCTGTCCTCCCAGGGCTTTTGGCAGGCTTTCTGAACAAAGGCGCTCACCTGGAATTTCCACCTAGCCGGCGTGGGAAAGTTAGACAAAGAACTTTACATTTGAAACCCCTCTGGTCCCCAGATGGGGGCATGAATTGAGGTATGGCGCTGGGAAATTCCTGCCTTTGAAACACAGGCAATTTTCCTTAACACAGCCCCTCACCACCACAGTTGATCTGATAACCAAGTGCCTACTAAATGAGGACGGTATACAGCGTGGATTCACAAGACAAGCGGAGCAGCCACGTTCCAGGGTAGACCGAGTGGGCATGATGCAAGATTTTATCACACTACTCAGAACAGCTCAAAATTTGAAACTTATAAATTGTTTATTTCTGGAATTTTCCATTTAATATTTCTGGACCACAATTGACCGCAGGTAACTGACACCTCAGAAAGCATAACTGTGGATGAGGGGGGACGACTGTATTCTAATCTTATTCTCTCCACTCATATTTGTTTATTAGGGAATCCATAGAAATTCAAACAAATTAAGGAACAGCCTGGGGCAGTGGCTCACACCTGTAATCCCAGCACTTTGGGAGGCCAAAGAAGGAGGATCCCTTGAGCCGGGAGGTTGTGGAGCCCAGGAGCCCAGAGCCAGTGACTTGCACAGCTGGATCCAGGAGCCTCAGAAAGCTCAAAGAAGCTCTCCAGCAGTCTTGCCCAAATCTGTAGCAGCCTACAGACCCGCAGATGAGAAGCCAGCCTTCATAGATGCGCCTTCAGTGGGTACTCTGGGACCCCGAAGAGACCCTTTACTTGAGGCTCCTTGATGGTTTGAGTGTGAAGTTCCATAGCTGGAAGTGATGTTCCCCTGGGGAATTCAGGAGGGGGAGATACATGTCCCTGTACCACTTAGATACAGCTGTGCTGTCCACGCCTCCCATTCCAGGGGACCCCGGCCACTGCCTGCTGCCTCCATGCGCCGGAAGCTTCCTGTCACCCTCCCAGCTGAATTGTCCTCTTGCTCTCAGGGCAGCTGTCTTCTCCTTCTTGTAATCCAACCTCTTGTTAGCCCGCCCCTACCTGCAACAGGGGTGATGTGGAAGAACCCCACGTTCTCAGGAACACTGCCTGCTCGCCCTCCTCAGAGAACCTGCAGCATCCAGTGTTTCTACTCTGTGTATGCCTGAGAGCAGGAGGTTAGGCTAGGAGAAGTGAGAGTTCCAGGCCCTGAGACGGAACATCCAGAAAGTGGGGGACAGCGGACACGTAGGCCCAGGCACCAGAGCAAGACGGGTCCAGTGACTACAGCAGAACAGGCACCTGCCCTCCAATCCCAGCTTCTCCTCCTCCTCCCTCTCCTTCTCCTCCTACCTCCCCTCTTCCTCCTTTCTCTCCTCCTCCTCCAGCTCCTCCTCCTTCCTCGCTTCCTCCTTTCTTCCTCACTTCCTCCTTTTGTCTCTTCCTCCTCCTCCTTTTTCTTCCTCTCTTCCTCCTCATTCCTCCTTCCTCCTCCTGCTCCTCCTCCTCCCTCTCCTCCTCCTCCCCCTCCTCCCTCTCCTCC